TTTGAAACACAACTTAAGAAAAGATGCAAAGCCAGTGAAACACTCATGGACAGCTGTTTCATTGTTAATGCAAATCATCAGCATAAGGTTGGTTACTGGCTGGCTAGCTTGGAGACTTGGAGGTACTTGCGAAGCAACAACCAAAACAGTTATGGTGGGGAAAAAATGTGATTGAAAACACCTTCCACCTGAAGTCTGTGGATAGTTAATACAATGTTAAACAAAAATCTGCACACCAGATATAGATATACCCCTAATGCACACTCTGAAGCAGGAATGTAAAACTCAGGGTTCTAAACCGATCTTGTGGATAGGTAGAATCCATTGCATTAAAGGACCACTAAAGGCACTCAGTTCACTTCTGTGTTCCACAATGTGGAGGCGTACATAAAGAAAAAGCAAAATTAACAAAACATGAAGGACGCGAACAGAGCAAAACGTAAGGCGATCATGGGACCTAAGTGACAGCTCTGAAAATGCAACAAAACTTTTTAACAAACTAACACTTGCTACCCAAAAGGATGTTGACGCGTGGCCTGTGTCAAAGACTGCATATCTTTAATATGGGAGGTTATCGCTAAAATTAAGGATAATTACCTAGTAAACAAAATAACAACTATTGTTCGGAATACTCGTCCAAAAAATATGTGATTTTTGGTTAAATTATATTCGTAAATGATTCGTTCTCCAATATGTGGGTTTTATTGATTGGTGCCTCTCGCCTGAGATGTGTACTAAAATCACATCATAACAGTTCCCCTTCCCTCTCTTTCCCTTCCTTTTTTACACTTTACTATTACTCTCTCATATTTACGTTTAACTTTTGTTTTAGGATATTCTTTATTCTGAAAATTGAGAAGCAGTTTGCTTCTTGCTACCTCGTGTATTTCTTTGTTTGTTATAGTTTTTGTCTCTTAAATGAAGAATTAAAAAAGAAAAGAAAAAGAAAGGGCGAGCAGGTGGTCACGTCACAAGTAGGTTGGTCAAACTGCGCAAAAATTGTTTGATCCAGAACTGAAGGACAAGGCTGCAGTTTACAGCACCATAACCACTACAGTAGCACGGAGTGATGCCGCTGAGACTGATCCTTTAAATAAATAGAACAAACCAGGAGAGTAAGAAGAGGTTCACTTGAGAGTGAGAAAGTAGAAAAGTATAGTGAAACAACACACAGCAAAAGAACCCCAAACAGCCTCGGTCACGAGATACAGAATATCGGAAAGAGTTCAGTCACTATATGGATAAACACAAATAATAATAATACAAAACCTTTAAAATACTGATACAGTTTTTAAACGTACTCTATTTAAAAGAATTAAATCTGTAAAATTCTGGTGAAACTTACGAATTGATTTCCATTGACTCCGTTCGACTCGAAGTACTGGAAATGCTATAAGAGACAGAAATAAGTTACAATTATTATAAAATCTTTGTTTCATTGAAGGAGAGCTGTGTGTCTAGCGAGTACCTGGCATGCTTTGTCTCATAAAGACATGGAGCTAGCTCTGCATGCCCACCATTTAACCAGGGCCAGGTAACTTTCTACCCATCCCATCTTAACTAGGAACTCTCACTTTTCAAAAAGTTCCCCCTTCCCTTACCCCAGTAAGTTGTACTGCAGTGTTTACTGGGGTGAGGAGTGCAGTGCATGCAGCTTTATATAACACTTACATGTCCTGGTGCATCTTACGTGTCCTGGTGCCATCTTTCCATATGCTCGGTACACAGGCATGCTTGCTCGGCCACCATCTTCCACAATGCCGTACAAGCAGGTGACGTGTTCTTGCAGAGGCCGACTCAACCCGGGGAAGGGTGAAGCTTGCAGCATGGATTTCAGTGTATTTTTTTAAATAAAGTTTTTCTATTTTTCATCAGGTCACTTTCTCAGGGCCAGCGTTTGCAGTCAGACATATATCACAGGATGCGACTGCTATGTACCCATCCACGATCTACACACTGGTGGGGAGGCCCAACGTTTGGGGATGATGAATTGTCTGTCAGAGGCCACTGCAGGAGCGCAACGTCACGTCACGTGCTGCAACGCCTTCTTTCTGGAGTTTGTAGGTTTCTCATAGGAGTGCGTACCGTCAGGCCTGGAAACCTTGGAGACTGACCAGGTCCAGAACAAATGCAAACTGAGCTACAGGGGGTGAGCTTGGGATGTCTAATTGAGAGACTTAAATGAAGGGATGGGAAAGAAAGGAGGATGTCGAAAGGAGGGAGAGGGAAATTTCTAAACGAGAGAGATCAATACATTACTGGTACAAATGCATGTGTGCCTGGGCATTGCTTTCATGTCGACGTACATCTGCATGCGCCCCTTATGGAGCGTGTACGGCATGGGTTAAACCCCCGACAGCCTGGCACAGCATGCATCTCTAAAAAATATATAAACTTTTTTATAACTAAGACAAAGCATACTAAGTTTAACGCACCTGAGCATCTCCACATCGTCTATATAATCTGTTTTCCTGAAAAAGATACAGAATGGTTAGAAGTTACCCCACTTCCTCCTTGGCTTCCATAGAGCAGTGCGGTTATCTACGTGTACGGTTGATATAATTGAACTAAACACACAATGACGTATCATGATCACTTGCAAGCCCCTCCTCCATCACATGACACAAAGTTGTCAAGGTAACAGTCAGTATGTAAACATAAAGACATGAATGACAATTGTATCCTAAAAAAACAAAGCAGAACATCGATCTATAGTTACAAAAATCATACAGGACAATAATAAGTCTATTGCAAATCTGTAATTAAGGGAGAGCAGTTTGTACAGCCAGGGATATTTAAGTATATCGGATATTAAACGAGTCTCCGTGTACATGGTTTATTTTCTTCTAATCTATGATGACAAGACAAACCAAAGACTAAGTCCATCTACAGTTGTACTCAAAATGATTCAACCCCCATTGAAAATCAGGTTTATTGTCAAAGTTTACAGACTTTTAGCTGTTTGCATTGAACAAATCAAACAAAAGCAATTGAAATAGCTCAACACAACGAATGGTTCATGCGGTTTCCCAAATTCAACTTACCCAGCATACTCAACCTAACATTGCTCTCAGGATGGACAGAACTGAGCTCGATAATGTGGAACTGTAAATGCCACACTGTCAATGTTCTGAGGAGAGGGAGGTATTGCTGGGTATGGTTCTCAAATTACTTCCAAATACTTTGAGACTATTTGCACCATAACCACTACACTGAGCTGTAACAACATAATTAGCTGTAATAATACTCTGAGCTGTAATTATACATAGAGCTGTAATAATAAACAAAGCTGTAATAATACTCAGAGCTATAACAATACTCTGAGCTATAATAATAGACAGTGCTGTAATAATACATTGAGCTATAATAATAGACAATGCTGTAATAATACACTGAGCTATAATAATAGTGCTGTAATAATACATTGAGCTATAATAATAGACAATGCTGTAATAATACACTGAGCTATAATAATAGATAGTTCTGTAATAATACTCCGAGCTATAATAATGCACAGAGCTGTAATAATACACAGAGCTATAATAATAGACAATGCTGTAATAACATAATGAGATGTAATAATACTCTGAGCTATAATAATAGACAGTTCTGTAATAATACAATAAGCTGTAATAATACTCCGAGCTGTAATAATGCACAGAGCTATAATAGACAGTGCTGTAATAAAACACTGAGCTATAATAATAGACAGTGCTGTAATAATACTCTGAGCTATAATAATACACAGAACTGTAATAATACACAGAGCTATAATAATACACTGAGCTATAATACACAGAGCTATAATAATAGACAGTTCTGTAATAATACAATGAGCTGTAATAATACTCCGAGCTATAATAATACAGAGAACTGTAATAATACACTGAGTTATAATAATAGACATTGCTGTAATAACACAATGAACTGTAATAATAGACAGTATCCATTTAGTGAGTATGTACAGAGTACACATGGTACAGAGTGTTTATCCATTTAGTAAGTATGTATATAGTATATAGAATACAGAGTAACTTTATCCAACTAGTCAAATCAAAGAATTTGTTAAAAAACAAACCAAGCTATTTCCATCTCCTCAACGTCCGAATATTTCCTGAAAAGACAGAAGAAGTTGCTGTTATTTTGCAGTTATTATACATTATTTTAGATTAGTGATGTGTATTGATAACACTGTCTGGCTGTGTGTGCGCATGAAAACAGGAATACTCTACAATCATTCACAGTATACTTTTATATCACCCTCTTGATGAGCCTAAACGTCTAGTACATTATTGCAGTTATAGACGAGAACCTAAAGAAAACAATGATCATTGTACATATTTCTGCAAAACGTCCCATGTCACTGTTTCCTTATACACACAGTCTTATAAATGTAGAAACTTGTAAAAGTTTGTGCACAGATTATCCACATGGAGGGCACCCAGCTACATTCAAACATCTAGAATGTCAAGTCATCTGAGCAGGGACTACCTATGGACTACAGCACAGGGCATCAGTCTATAGTCGAACATCTAGAATGTCACTTCTTCTGAGCAGGGACTACCTATAGACTCCAATGGAGGGCATCATTCTATAATCGAAAATCTAGAATGCCAGGTCATCTGAGCAGGGACTACAATGGAGGGCTTCAGTCTATAATCGAACATCTAGAATGTCAGGTCATCTGACCAGGGACTACCTATAGACTCCAATGGAGGGCATCATTCTATAATCGAACATCTAGAATGCCAGGTCATCTGAGCAGGGACTACCTATGGACTACAACGGAGGGCATCATTCTATAATCGAACATCTAGAATGTCACTTCATCTGAGCAGGGACTACAACGGAGGGCTTCAGTCTATAATCGAACATCTAGAATGTCAGGTCATCTGAGCAGGGACTACCTATGGACTACAATGGAGGGCATCAGTCTATAATTTATCATATAGAATGTAATTTCATCTGAGCAGGGACTACTTATGGACTACAACGGAGGGCTTCAGTCTATAATCGAACATCTAGAATGTAATTTCATCTGAGCAGGGACTATCTATGGACTACAACGGAGGGCATCATTCTATAATCGAACATCTAGAATGTAATTTCATCTGAGCAGGGACTATCTATGGACTACAACGGAGGGCTTCAGTCTATAATCGAACATCTAGAATGTAATTTCATCTGAGCAGGGACTATCTATGGACTACAACGGAGGGCATCAGTCTATAATCGAACATCTAGAATGTCACTTCATCTGAGCAGGGACTACCTATGGACTACAATGGAGGGCATCAGTCTATAATTTATCATATAGAATGTAATTTCATCTGAGCAGGGACTACTTATGGACTACAACGGAGGGCTTCAGTCTATAATCGAACATCTAGAATGTAATTTCATCTGAGCAGGGACTATCTATTGACTACAATGGAGGGCATCAGTATAAAATCGAACACCTAGAACGTCAGGTTATCTCAGCAGAGCTGTTCTTGTAGACTGTAATTTATTTGATGTGGTGAAAAACGATAACGAATTGCATTGACTTATCTCAGTTGGAGATGTGGTACTTTTCTCTAAATTGGGCTCTCCTGTGGAGTTGCTAATAGTCATTTACAGTGTTATTCAATAAATGTGAATTGTCAGCAGTTACCATGGAATTGTAAATGTAATAGACAAGTGTCATAAATTCTCAGTTTTTACTGTTATTACATTTCAATGATACTTAGTGATTTCTTTTTGAACATTTTACTTTTTATCTGGTGGAGAAACCATGTTGGGTCAGACTCCGCTGTTATCTGACTGGCAGCTGATGTGATTACTCTGTGTGAACCTACAGCAGCAGGTAAGTTAGGTTGAGCAGACCACTTCTCAATGAAGTAACCATCAATTTAACATTGCAAGTGAACACATTGCCATTCTGCAGGAACACAATGCGTTCATTGCAGGGTTTAAATGACTCTAGTGGCTGTCTAGGGGCACTTCCATAAACATAGCCAAGTAAAATTAGAAAATGGTAATAACTGGGATATCATATCTTAGATACACACAGCTGATCATTCACTGAGTCTCCCCTCTCTGACCTGGCCGCAAACATCTGGGAGAGTGCAGCAAGGGGGAATTTGCTAGGTACTGCCACGAGGGCTCTTTGTTACACCTCTGCATGTGGTGCTGGGCTGCAACCTGTGTTTGAGTCACTTTCTCCATATTTACTAACAAGCCTAGTGAAATGTGAGCAATAAGGCCTAGGTTCTAATAACTCAGCAGAGTGTATACTAACAAGCACCTTCACTCAGGAATAGTGAAATGTGAGCAAAGAGGCCTGGATTCTAATAACTCAGCAGAGAAATGACATCACAATCAACTCATGCTGACATCACGCGTTGATGTCATAAGTAACTGTAAATTTTAAACTATCATTTTACAGAAATGTGGAGTAATTTCAGATTCAGCATTTAGTTATTATATTCCATGAATGTAAATAGAACATGAATTGTAAGTAGTTTATTTAGGTTATTGTGACACATATTTAAAGGATTTATAAATTAATCAGGATTGTCACTTAATAAATCAAATATGTGTGGCATTTTGGCAAAAGTGTTAAAAAAAACACATCATTTGTTTATATTTAAATATTCTGTTGTCGTGTAGGTTCACGTTTAATTGAATACTACTCTTCCTGAAATTACAATATTTCCCAGATTGTTTTTGAAACAAAATCCTGAGAAATACAATTACAAATGAAACGGCAACATTGAATTAATTCCAAAAAATAAATCAGGATTCATGAACATTGAGTTTCAACTCATTTTAACCCCTTAAGGACCAAACTTCTGGAATAAAAGGGAATCATGACATGTCCTTGTTTATTTCCCCAAATAAAATATTTTGAAAATATATCAGACGATGTAACCTCTGTTTAATGTTATTGATGGAGTTTTTAGATTGTCTTTTGAAGTCCCTTTATCTCTATATGCATGTCATGATCAGGTCTTTATTTATTTTACAATCTGGCCTGTTGGTATTTGCCGTATTATTGTGTTTTATGCATTTGCTATTTTTGTTTGAGATTTTTTATTTTAATTTAGCTAACAATAATATTGTGATTATTTACTATTTCTTTGCGTATCACTTTATATTGGTGGCTTTGTTTAATGACAGATCTCGTTCTTGATTTATGAGAAATATTAATATCAGGATATCTGAGATACACAAAGCTGGTCATCTCTTACCTGGACGCAAACAACTGGGAGAGTGATACCCCAGGCTGTGCAGCAAGGGGGAATCCGCTAGGTACTGCCACTGGCGAGGGCTCTTTGTTCCACCTCTGCAAGTGGTGCTGAGCTGCAACCTGTGTTTGAGTCAATTTCTCCATATTTACTAACTAACCAGCGCCGTCTCACAAACTTGGTGAAATGTGAGAAACCTGGGTTCTAACTGAGCAGAGTGTATACTAACAAGCGCCTTCACTCAACTCTAGTGAATTGTGAGCAAAGAGGCCTGGATTCTAACAGCTGAGCAGAGAAGTGACATCATATTAAACTCATGCTGACATCACATAGTGATGTCATAAGTAACTGTACATTTGAAACCATCATTTTCCAGCAGTTCTATGTGCAGTAATTTCAGATTCAGTATTTAGTTATTATCTGTGTGGCTAAGGGTGTTGTGTGTCTTTCTGTCCATCACTATTTCTGCAGAGACCCTGCATTCATCTCTCACTTTACAGTGTCATTATATCAATCTCTCTCCTAGTGTCACTGTGTCCATCTCTCTCCCCTAGTGTCGCTGTATCCAACTCTATTAGTGTCAGTGTATCCATCTCTCTCCCCTAGTGTCAGTGTATCCATCTCCCTCTCCTAGTGTCACTGTGTCCATCTCTCTCTCCTAGTGTCACTGTGTCCATATCTCTCCCCTAGTGTCGCTGTATCCATCTCTCTCCTAGTGTCGCTGTATCCAACTCTCTCTCTATTAGTGTCACTGTATCCATCTCTCTCTCCTAGTGTCAGTGTATCCAGCTCTCTCCCCTAGTGTCAGTGTATCCATCTCTCTCTCTCTTAGTGGCTCTGTATCCATCTCTCTCTCCTAGTGTCACTGTATCCATCTCTCTCTCTCTATTAGTGTCTCTGTATCCATCAATCTCTCCTAGTGTCGCTGTATCCGTCTCTCTCTCGATTAGTGTCACTGTATCCATCTCTCTCCCCTAGTGTCGCCGTATCCATCTCTCTCTCCTAGTGTCAGTATATCCAGCCAGCTCTCTCCCCTAGTGTCACTGTGTCCATCTCTCTCTCCCAGTGCCACTGTATCCATCAATCTCTCCTAGTGTGGCTGTATCCATCTCTCTCCTAGTGTCTCTGTATCCATCTCTCTCTCCTAGTGGTGCTGTATCCATCTCTCTCTCCTAGTGTCACTGTATCCATCTCTCTCCCCTAGTGTCGCCGTACCCATCTCTCTCTCCTAGTGTCAGTATATTCAGCCATCTCTCTCTCCTAGTGTCACTGTGTCCATCTCTCTCTCCTAGTGTCTATGTATCCATCAATCTCTCCTAGTGTCAGTGTATCCATCTCTCTCTCCTAGTGTCACTGTATCCATCTCTCCTAGTGTCAGTGTATCCATCTCTCTCTCCTAGTGTCAGTGTATCCATCTCTCTCTCCTAGTGTCACTGTGTCCATCTCTCTCTCCTAGTGTCACTGTGTCCATCTCTCTCCCCTAGTGTCGCTGTATCCATCTCTCTCCTAGTGTCAGTGTATCCAGCTCTCTCCCCTAGTGTCAGTGTATCCATCTCTCTCTCTCTTAGTGGCTCTGTATCCATCTCTCTCCCCTAGTGTCGCTGTATCCATCTCTCTCTCTATTAGTGTCTATGTATCCATCTCTCTCTCCTAGTGTCGCTGTATCCAACTCTCTCTCTATTAGTGTCACTGTATCCATCTCTCTCCTAGTGTCAGTGTATCCATCTCTCTCTCTCTTAGTGGCTCTGTATCCATCTCTCTCCCCTAGTGTCGCTGTATCCATCTCTCTCTCTATTAGTGTCTATGTATCCATCTCTCTCTCCTAGTGTCGCTGTATCCAACTCTCTCTCTATTAGTGTCACTGTATCCATCTCTCTCCTAGTGTCAGTGTATCCATCTCTCTCTCTCTTAGTGGCTCTGTATCCATCTCTCTCCCCTAGTGTCGCTGTATCCATCTCTCTCTCTATTAGTGTCTATGTATCCATCTCTCTCTCCTAGTGTCGCTGTATCCATCTCTCTCTCGATTAGTGTCACTGTATCCATCTCTCTCCCCTAGTGTCGCCGTACCTATCTCTCTCTCCTAGTGTCAGTGTATTCAGCCAGCTCTCTCTCCTAGTGTCTCTGTATCCATCAATCTCTCCTAGTGTCTCTGTATCCATCTCTCTCTCCCAGTGCCACTGTATCCATCTCTCTCTCCTAGTGGCGCTGTATCCATCTCTCTCTCCTAGTGTCACTGTATCCATCTCTCTCGATTAGTGTCACTGTATCCATCTCTCTCCCCTAGTGTCGCCGTACCCATCTCTCTCTCCTAGTGTCAGTATATTCAGCCAGCTCTCTCCCCTAGTGTCACTGTGTCCATCTCTCTCTCCTAGTGTCTCTGTATCCATCAATCTCTCCTAGTGTGGCTGTATCCATCTCTCTCTCCCAGTGCCACTGTATCCATCTCTCTCTCCTAGTGTCACTGTATCCATCAAACTCTCCCAGTGTCACTGTATCCATCTCTCTCTCTTTCTAATGTTACCGATTCCATTTTCTCGCTCTGCAGTCTCACTATGATTTGTGACAAGTAAAACAATAAATATCATAAAGCAATTAGAAAGTACTTTTTCTCCTTTTATTGAAATACTGTAAGTTAAACAGACATTTACAGCAATTGGAACATACAGTATTTTAGTCTTGTTTTTCCCTGGAAATCTCTGTGATACACTTGTAGACATCAATCATACTAAAATAGAGAAACCAGGGGAGGAAGAACAGATAATTTGAGTCTGCGTCTAGGGTAAAACTGCCCAACGACCACAACTAAAGGCTAAAACTATACGTATGTACAACAGTGAATTAGGATAAAATGCGAATAAAGAACATATTAACTAGAACATACTCTGCAACAGCAAATAAACACGCACACGTAATGGATAACTTCATTCCATTCTAACAATTTAGTTAATTTTTTTTTAATTACTGGTAGAAGCACTAAAGGTTGTGGACAGCCCTTTCTAAGCAGGGTCAGCCGATTGTCAGATGAGCTTACAATCTAGTGTTAAT